ATTCCCCGAGAGACTTTGCGTTCACTTGCAATTATGAGTTACAGAACATTAAAAAAGATTAAGTGAATAAAAAGAAAGCAAGAGTGAATATATGATGAATGACAAAAAAACTGAATAATGAAAATGCACATGTTTCTAGGCCAAACAAGAGTTGAGCACAAGTGAATGCTGGTGAAGAGATTGTCCACTCAAATGTGGCTTCAAAGGGTCCTGAGCTTTATTGTATGGAAGAATCTTTTAAGGACTGTTTCATTTTTTCTAGCCTTTTAAAAAAGAAGACATCTCAAATCCATTGTCTAAAATTTGGAGGCCTAGGATCTGTCCACCTCAGTTAAAACAATAGTTTAGCTATAGCATGATAAAAGTAGGGTACAGATTTGTCAATTTATATGAATCAGGAGTTATTCCGAAAATATCAGCAGACTGGAAAATGCTGTTAATTTTATTTGTTTATAGCCCATAATCGCTGACTGATGAAAAGGTCAATGCAAAGAAAAAACAACAACTTTTTAATATTCAGATCACATTGTGTCAGATAGAACAGCAATGATGTCATATCCTCAGGTGTTGAGCCTCTTTTCATCACAGGACATTAGTATTCCTGCAGCAGCGAGCAGTGATTGTGATCGCTGTCGGGGTATTTCTGTTTGTCTCAATAAGAGAGTAGCACAGCGACAGTGTCTTCACCGAAGGAGAGCGGAGAAGGATGAAAATGCCATAAGGATCCTTGCGCGTGACTCTCAGCCACCCACACTGCCAGGCGTGGGAGGCAGAGGTAATTCTCCTGTGCCAGACACGTAGAGAGCCGTGTTGATGGCAGTATTGCTACAGAACACCAAATACCACTGCGCTCCTTTTTTGGATGTTCCCTGTACTTATTATAGAGTTTTCAGAGATAATATGCCCCTTGGTGCGAGTACACTCTTAAAAATAAAGGTGCTTCACGATGCCATAGAAGAACCTTTTTGTCTAAATGGTTCCTTAAAGAACCTTTAACATCTGAAGAATCTTTCTGTTTCACAAAAGGTTCTTTGTGGTGAAAGAAGGTTCTTCAGATTATAAAAAGGTAAGAAAGAGAAGGTTCTTTAAAGAACCTTTGGCTGAATGGTTCTTTGTGGAGCCAAAAATGGTTCTTCTATGGCATCGCTTGAAGAACCTTTTGAAGCACCTTTATTTTTAAGAGTGTACCATTGAGAAATTTTAACCAAAGTATGTTATATATTTTCATTAAGACCCTAAAGAACCATATCAACTGGATATGGCAAAATGGGCATCCGAAGACTTTTTAAACATTTAGATTTACATTTAGATTAAGATTTAATAAACTGTTCTATTTCAAACAATTAGATTTTTCGGACTATTATTTCATATTCCAGGCAACAATTCGATATTTCGGACTATTATTTAATATGCCAGGCTTATTAACTACTGTTAATAAACCTTATTGTAAAGTGTTACCAGATAATCTCTGATCATTTCAAGCTCTCTCCTTTGTCTGATGATTTGTGCTTTGTCCTTTATTTGCCATAGTCAGATAAGCACCAACTTTGCACGTCTATGATTCTGCTTCAAGCCTTCATCACATTCAGGATGAAATCTTGTTGTTGTTATTTTTTCGTTTGGGCACTGAACAGTACAGTACAGCTTTGGTTTCGTGCTTCTTCCAGACCTCCCACAGTTAAACGTATCATGTTCTCCAGGCCTGGTGAGTTTTGGAACGCTGATGAGGTTCATAATCACAGCAGTGTGTACAGAACAGAGTCTGACACCTGAACCGCATCTCGCTCTCCTTGTCTCCTACTGCTCCCAGGTGAGCAATTACAGGACAGCCGGGAGCCTCTTGACACACACACATTCTTGATCCAGCTTCTTCTTATGCTCATACACACTCCTTCCATTACCGAGGAGTGAGTGAAAGAGAATGCTCTATCAGTCTGTCTGCCAGCTGAGCGATCCATCATTTATATGGATGGAGACAGGCGAGGTGGAGTTCTGACCTCTACAGTTTGAGCACTTCCCTTCTGCTACTGTACATCTGTTTGCTCTCCCTGCCACCCTCTCTGGCTCGTCCTTCACTTTGCCTTTTTTCATCACAAACCTTGGAGAATTAGCAGGACCAGTGTTGTCTGGATTTTCTGCTTTCCCTCTTTTCACTCTCAGTTTGTCTCTCTTTGTTACTTTTCTTTCTCACATCGTGTTTTCCCAGCCTTTACTTTTTCTCACTCCTGCCTTATTTTTACTCTTCTTTCCTTTCTGTATCTATTTCTACCCTCTCTCCAATTTTTACCTCTATCTATCTCTCCCAATTTTGCCTAGAGGAAGAGGTATATCATTTTTTCCCATTTTTAATAAAAGCGAGGATGTATTCTTGGAAAATATTAAATATTAATTCATGATGTGTATTAATAATGCATTATTAATATCCTGTGATGGCAGAGGTCTTCTGTGGAAATGTATCAATTTACCTGGATTATTTTAGGTTATATCCTGAAGGAAGGGGGATCAGTGGAACACCTTTCGCAGGATGACATAAATTGTGTTCTTTTTATAAATATTTGCGTAATTAATGACACAATCTCCTGTTAAAGTTAAAAGGGGTAAATGGGACAAAGAAAATAATGAGATTGTAATGTTTTGTTTTGCAAATATTAACCTAACTAACTGAAATTGCAGGTTCAAGAGTAAAATGTAACAGGAAAGAAAAGGAATGAGAATCTGTGCAATGCTCTATTTCAAGGGTCTCACATTATAGTTTATTCTTAAATTCACCCCACAAGCAGGTCTTTAATATATTTAATATTCAGAACTTTCTCAATGGCAGTTGGTTGACTGGAGCAACTTTACTGGAAGTACACAATTTAATATCTGCCATCTTTAATCACAGGAGCCACAGTTTAGAGTCAATCACCGAAGCCATAATTACATGTAAATAAGCATCTGTAGGAAAATGATATCATGACTGTGCTGATTGGCTGACAGCACCACCACCATAAACACCTGACTTATTCTAAATATTCTTCTACATTTGTAATATTTCCTGGAATTACAATATACGGTTAAAAGGTTAAATGGGACATTCCATCGGATCCCCCTTCAGTTTCCTGCCGGAGGTGCTTATTTGAATATCTGTGTAAATGTGTGTGGGAATAAAAAAGGTTCATATGTCTTTGTTGCAGCTGACAAGGACCAAAGGGACCACTCAGAGGCAAGTCTTTCTAGAGGGAGCTCAAACAGTCTGGCTTTAGTTACAGCTGGAGAGAACTATCTGCAAAGAGAGAGAGAGAGAGAAGGAGAGAGGGAGCGAGATAAGAGATCGAAGTGCTGAAAGGAGAAGAGAAAGGATGAATGGAACAGGACCACATGTTGGGTTGATGTGAGAGGCATGCATCATCAGTGGCTCATTCTTTAGCTCTGGTGTTCGGAGTAACTGGAAACAGGAAAACTCTTCCAGATTAAGCGGTAATGTATACAAACACAACATAAACAGAGTTTGATGTACTACACTGTTGAATGAGTCTTGCTGCTGAAGCCACTAAACTTAAAATTTCAGTTGCATGCAATATGCGTTGATAGTGGAATGAAGCAATGCATAAGATTGCATGTTTTGTGTGTTTATGTGATGTTTTGTTTAAACCAGGGCAGCTGTGAGCATGCAAGGATGAAACATCAGTGTGTTCCAGTCTCTCATGTGCTCTCGTTCTTTCTTTCTCTCTTATTGTACATGCAGCTGTAAAGTTGCCTCCTCTATTCTGAATCACAATCACAAGCTCTAAGCATCCGTGCACAATAACCGTCAACAGGGTCGGGGAAAACAGGAGGCTCTTGAAGGTGACTGTGAACATGCTGTCGATCTCAAACTGGAACGTTTTGGGTTGTGCAGACTTGGAGTGCAATGCTTCATATGGACTATGGGTTCCACAAATTAATTGATGTCGCGCTTGAAAAAACTGTCTGTTAATGGCCCTGAATGGGACGACTGCTGAACTCAGGTCCTCCGGGATATCAGCTGAGATTTCAAAAGACAAAAGCAGCGAACATTGGCTCATGGAGCAAAAGGTGTCTCTGGGTAATGCAGTTCTGAATAACTCTATGGATTGCAATGGTAGTGAAGACAGAAACAGGTCGGACCCTTTGACCTCTGAGCATGTCCAGAAGAACTGGGTGGCACTTTTGATTTCTCTGGTCATAATCATCACGGTGACGGGTAACATCCTGGTCATCATGGCGGTGAGCTTGGAGAGAAAGTTACAGAATGCCACTAATTACTTCTTGAGGTCTTTAGCAATTACAGACATGCTTCTGGGTATCCTTGTAATGCCAGTAGCCATGGTGACAATCCTCTATGGTGAGTTTCTTTACATTTTTACATATGTATTCATCATGCATTAAATTTACAGTAAAACACAATGGAAGTCTATGGGGCAAGGCATTTCACCAAAATAGCTGTTAAAATACATAGTTTTTAACTTATAGCCTCAACACATGAACATCATAGGTGCTAATAGGGGTTTTTGCACCGGAGGAACCTTTTCATAGATGTACTACACTGTTGAATGAGTCTTGCTGCTGAAGCCACTAAACTTAAAATTTCAGTTGCATGCAATATGCGTTGATAGTGGAATGAAGCAATGCATAAGATTGCATGTTTTGTGTGTTTATGTGATGTTTTGTTTAAACCAGGGCAGCTGTGAGCATGCAAGGATGAAACATCAGTGTGTTCCAGTCTCTCATGTGCTCTCGTTCTTTCTTTCTCTCTTATTGTACATGCAGCTGTAAAGTTGCCTCCTCTATTCTGAATCACAATCACAAGCTCTAAGCATCCGTGCACAATAACCGTCAACAGGGTCGGGGAAAACAGGAGGCTCTTGAAGGTGACTGTGAACATGCTGTCGATCTCAAACTGGAACGTTTTGGGTTGTGCAGACTTGGAGTGCAATGCTTCATATGGACTATGGGTTCCACAAATTAATTGATGTCGCGCTTGAAAAAACTGTCTGTTAATGGCCCTGAATGGGACGACTGCTGAACTCAGGTCCTCCGGGATATCAGCTGAGATTTCAAAAGACAAAAGCAGCGAACATTGGCTCATGGAGCAAAAGGTGTCTCTGGGTAATGCAGTTCTGAATAACTCTATGGATTGCAATGGTAGTGAAGACAGAAACAGGTCGGACCCTTTGACCTCTGAGCATGTCCAGAAGAACTGGGTGGCACTTTTGATTTCTCTGGTCATAATCATCACGGTGACGGGTAACATCCTGGTCATCATGGCGGTGAGCTTGGAGAGAAAGTTACAGAATGCCACTAATTACTTCTTGAGGTCTTTAGCAATTACAGACATGCTTCTGGGTATCCTTGTAATGCCAGTAGCCATGGTGACAATCCTCTATGGTGAGTTTCTTTACATTTTTACATATGTATTCATCATGCATTAAATTTACAGTAAAACACAATGGAAGTCTATGGGGTAAGGAATTTCACCAAAATAGCTGTTAAAATACATAGTTTTTAACTTATAGCCTCAACACATGAACATCATAGGTGCTAATAGGGGTTTTTGCACCGGAGGAACCTTTTCATAGTTCCTAGAACTATTGGCGGAAGTTGCCGCTTTTTGGTGTGTTCGCACCGCAGGAACTAGGAACAGTTTTAGTTCTAGGAACTCAGTTTGGGGGAACTAAATTAGCTCCTACTTCAGAGTAGGGTCTAAAACAGTTCTATAGGAGCTATCAGTGATGTAAGTGTGCGCTGATTGGCCAAACACATTAGAAACACCGGCTACCTACCATTTTTAAAAACCCATGTAAAAATATTTTCTCCACGAACATGGAAAACAGCAATAACGGCATTTTCCTATTGTCTGCAGCGTTGTGTACTTATCTCAGCCTTGATGATAACACTTCAGGTTGTCAAAGGAGATTTAGTCAGATTTTCATGCTCTTTTAATCGGGCAAATTGCGCGTTTACTTTCCATCTCCGTTATCACGAAACCCACGACGACACAACAAAAACAGCTCCGATCACGGCATCCTCCATTCACCGGTTGCTGGCATTTGTAAATGGTGTGAATAAAGACGTTGCTGTCGGGGTTAAGGCTAGAAGGGATACAGCTGCGTCTACTGGGCATGTGCACATTAATATAGTGTCATTTTTGTCACACTGTAGAACAATAATTACTGTTTTTGCATTATTGTAAGAGGTAGATTTAGGGTTGGGGTAGGTGTAGACGTTAATAACACACAATCTAATAGGTAGAAAATTGAATTTATTGTTAGTTTCCGGCCGTATCCCTTGGAGGAATGACCCTGCTGGCTAGTTACTAGAATTGAGTTCCTAGAACTATGCAATGCGAAAGCCTCTATAGTGATACTAACATGCAGTCTTTATATAGAGATACTATATGCAGTCTTTCAACTTCCATCATGGCTTGTTAAGCCAGTAAAACATGTAACATACGCATGATATGAACAAGGATATTAGGACTGTTTACAATGAGAACCATCAACAGGAAACCAGGGGGTCACAAGGTGGTGCTAAGGTGTGAATGTTTTTTAGGGCTGTCAAAAGTTCTGTGTAACCTTTTTAAATTAAATATTTAACACAATATTGTTTTGATATTATAACTCCTGTTTTGCTTTGACATTAATCAGGACTATTTTAACCAAATGAGCAAAAACAGATGCAGTCAAATTAAGTAGAACATTTTTATTTAATTTTCCAAACAAAATTTAGTCTTTACATACTGGTAAAAAATGTATAGCCTGAATGCACTGTAAGTCGCTTTGGATAAAAGTGTCTGCTAAATGCATAAATTAAATTAAATTATTATTATTTAGAACATTACACTGTTCTTCTCGCATGTTGTAAATGAGTCTTTATATATTAAAATATATACAACTGCCTTTATATTTTTATATTTTACACAAATTTTATTTGTGGTCCTTGGCATCAAAAAGTTTAAAAACCTCTGATTTCAATAACTTTATTTCATATGGTACACTTTTTTTTTGGTAGAGAAAATTCAGCCTGTACATTTGCCTTGAACTATTGCCTTCCATTGTAAGTTTTTTACTGTAAATTCAAATTTTCTTTGTTCTTACAAACTAAGGGACAAGTCATAATTATTTTCTGACATAATCAGAACCTGCTGTTTACTACTACAGATAATACCGTATTGACCCGAATATAAGACGATGTTTTTTTCTTGGAAGACAAAATGTGTTTTACTGAGAAAAAACAAGATTTGGTTTTTAAAAAGCCTTTTTCCAAAAGGTACATCTGGAAAAAGGGGGGTCGTCTTATAATCAGAGTCGTCTTATATTCGGCCCAATATGGTAATTCTTGTGTTATTTTCTGTGGTTGTCGACAATGTGCCACAGATGCTGTTTATAGGCATGAAATTGTTCAGAAGCTAGAACATTCCTTTAAATCTGTGTCTGGGGTCATGCACAGGATTTTTATTTGAGCATTTTTTCTGAATCAGCACTCATCAGACGCCTCCAGTGAATTTCTTCCCGGTCAAAGGTGTAAACTGCAAACGTTCTTGTGTTGTAACATTTGTATCTCTGGAAAATGATGCATTTCTCTTTAGAAAAATAATTAGGCCTCCATACATTTTGCTGGAAGGTGATTTATTTATGCGCATAATGAGTGTGTGTTGGGCCGTCTGGTGTGTCCTAAATTAGCCTGCTTGTATTCATGCATGGGGAGAGAAATCCCTCTTCCTACTCCTTCCAGCGCTTTGATGAGGAATTAATTCTGTGCTTTGGTGTGTTTGTGCAGCAAAAATTGTTATGCTTCCTATTTGATGTCCTGAATAGTTTGACCAAGGAGAATAAAACATGCCACTTCCTGGTTCTATCAGATGTACGTGGTGTTGGTGTTATGACAGCTGGCCTTCACTAAATGATGTACAGACAGATTTACCATAACGCAGAATTAAATTATTTATTCTCCTTCTTTCTTCTTTTATTGGTGGAGTTTGTCATTTAGAAATCAGAACTGTCCATGAAAACCTAGACAAAACACAGTCTGTCTAAAGCATAACACATCGTTTTTAAATCAAACATGCAAACACGCAACACAGAACTCATTTTGGGTGACCACAACTAATCCACAGCTGGTATCATCTTTTGCTCCCTGAAACGTGTTATTCCCACATATATGATGTAATGTTATTATATAACCGAGTAAGAGTCATTTATATAGCCTATGTGAAACAGGGTTGTGATCTAGAACGCGCCAGGCACTAAGAAACAGCGCTCTATTTTAGCTGAACCTGTTGTGAGAATTCTGGGAGATTCTATGACTTTCCAGTTCGAAGCACACCAATGAGTGTGAAGGTGCTGCTGATGAGACTGTATCTGCACCCGAGAGTCTTCTACTCTCTCATCTTACATTCCTTTGGGTTCAGACCCAAAGGAATCAAATACTGAGACACAGCGCATTCGAAAACATATCTGTTCTTTGTGAGTCAGCCAAATAAAAGGCTGAAGCTTGTGAAATACAACATTGTTTTGCCAGTGACTACTGGTATCCACTTTATTCAAGATAATTATTATTGATGATACTGAAAACTAAATAAGTGGAAAAGATTTGAAAGTTCAGATTAACAATGAGGTATTGCACTCCAAAAAGCGATTAATGGCCATATAAAACAATTTTGGGTTCCCCAAAGAACCAATCAGTAAACAGTTCTTTTTGTCTGAAAAACATTTTAATAATCTGAAGAACCTTTTGTGCAATGGAAAGGTTTTGCATGGAACCATCAATAAAGAATCTTTATTTTTAAGGGTGTAGAACAGTTTTGTGTCAGTAATTCTTAAACATTACAGTTCTTGCTTCTGTATAAGAAGCAAATTCCATTTAACAAGGTTATATAATACATTTCTATTATTTATGCTTTTCTCTGAGGTCCACTTAGAATGTAAGTGAAGTTTTTTGTGGCCAAAACACACTTTACAACAACTAATTGAGATTTTTCAATATCATTCTTGCTGCTGTTGCTGTCACTACTAATACTACTAATATAATAATAACACAATTTAAAATAACTGAATGCTAAATACTTTTCTTTTGAGCTTTCTCAAAAAATTAAGCGGCACAACTGTTTTCAGCACTGATAATAATAGGAGATATTTCTTGAGCACCAAATCAACATATTGGAATAATTTCTGAAGGATCATATGACACTGAAAACTGGAGTAATGGCTACTGAAAATTCAGCTTTGCCATCAGAGGATTAAATTACATTTTAAAATAAACTGTATTAATATATATAAAACAGTTATTTCAAACTGTAAAATTATGTCACAAAATTTGTTTTTTATATGTGGTTTTGACAGTGTGAACGCCTTGTAAAAAAAAAGTCAGATTTTCTTGCTTACATTGCTCCATGAATTCCTCATGCTATGACCCCTGAAATATTTAATATTATAGAACTGTATTTAAAATGTAGCCTATATATAAATATAAATATTTAATACATTCTCTGACTGTAACCAACAACACAAGTACATGCTTGTACAGAATGTGACACTTTTTGTGTCTTTGATATGTTAGGTTACACCTGGCCCCTTCCCTGGGCCCTATGTCCAATCTGGATCTACCTGGATGTTCTCTTCTCCACCGCCTCCATCATGCACCTCTGTGCCATCTCTCTGGACCGATACATCGCCATCCGTAACCCCATCCACCACAGCCGCTCGAACTCTCTAACCAGAGCCCGTGTCAAAATTATAGCAGCCTGGACCATCTCTGTGGGTAAGTTCTAGATGCAAGAGGAAATTGCTTTCCAGCTCAATTCTGAAATGCTAAACAACTGAGACTGCATCTATTAGCACTGGTATGCCAAACCATAGCTCCAAGCTATCTTTTCACTCTCATTTTGTCTCCATCTGTCTCAAGTTATCTCCATGCCTGTCCCAGTCCTCGGCCTGCACGACCACACCAAAGTCTTCCGGAATGAAAGCTGCCAACTGACGGACAACAATTTCGTTTTGATTGGCTCTTTTGTGGCGTTCTTCATCCCGCTCATCATCATGGTCGTCACCTACATTCTCACCATCAGTGCTCTTCAAAGTGAAGCGACTTTGTGCCTGGACCAACTCATCGTGCGGCCAAAATGGTCGTCCACTATTGGACTCCTCCCACGAGGCTCGCTGTCCTCTGAGCGTCTCTTCTCACGTTCGTCTCTCTGCCGCGATGGGGCTTCCAGAGGATCTGGCCGTCGCTCCATGCAGTCCATCAGCAACGAGCAGAAGGCATCTAAAGTGCTAGGTGTGGTCTTCCTTCTGTTTGTGATCATGTGGTGTCCGTTTTTCGTGACAAACGTTATGGCGGTGGTGTGCGGTTCGGCGTGTGATGAAGAGTTGGTGGGGGGACTGATGAATGTGTTTGTTTGGGTGGGTTATCTGTCATCAGCAGTCAACCCTTTCATCTACACGCTATTCAATAAGACTTACCGTGCTGCTTTCGGCCGGTACATGCGATGCCGCTACCGTGAGGAGAGGAGGCCTCTGCAGCTGATACTGGTCAACACCATCCCTCCTCTGGCGTACAGCTCCTCTGGGCTTCCCCTGAAGGTGGAGAACTCATTAAAGAGGAGGGCAGAGGGCAGCCGGTCTGGGAACTTCTCCAACACAGACAGGTCAAACTCTGGAAACACACAAAACAAGCAGGAATGGGAAGAGGTAGTAAGCCATTTGTGAGACTCCAGAGGGTTTTTAATTATGGTTCACATCAACCGACCTTAGAGACCGTCTCTTTGTAGGTGTAAAAGCTTGAAAAATTAAGTCTTTTATTTTAATATGTGTCCACCTGTGCAGCACAGCACAGTCAGCAGATCATACTACCTACGGCTCACAGCCAAAAGAGATGACAGATGCTTTAAATTGGGCGAACAGCAATAAAGTTTTACAACTCTCTTTGTGGGACTCAAATCACAACATTATGTTTATTTTGTACAAGATTTGTAACATTTCTTTCTTTCTTCTGTGAAACACAAACAGACATTTTTAGAAAAATAATCTCTCTGAGTCCATATAATGCAAGTGGATAAGTCCTTCAAAGTTGACGCTTCAAAAATCATGCAAGTAACAAACACAAACGTTAATTCATACAAACTCAGTTGATAAATCAGTCTTTTTAAACTTCAAACTTCATTTCTGACCAACTGTCGGCATGAACATTAGCATGTTGTGAAACTCGCACAGAAGGGACAGTCTTCTGTGCTTCCACATCACTTTTCGAGTGAGTTTCACAACACTCTTACATAATGCTTACACAAGGTGTGAACTCATATTTGCCAGAAGTGATGGTTTATAGTAAGTTCAACATATTAGCATTTTTCTCACACACCTATTGTTTCTTTTCATAAGACCATTGATTCATCCACTGATTACAGCTGAGGGTCCTGTCCACTTGCATTATATGGTCTCACAGAGATGGTTTATTTAGCTAACAATTGAGTTCATCTGACTAAAGAAAGTCATACATCTGGAATGCTATGATGTACGGTGACTAAATGATGACAGAAGATTATTCTTTTGAAGATGCCAAAATATTTAAAAGTTTGTTTTTTTTGCAATTTATCTTGCATCAGGAGAGAAATAGTTTCATGTTCATTAATTTATTAATATTATAGATTGTATTGTGAAGACATGTGTATATTATATGGGTAGATTAAATAAACCTTACAAGGAAGATTTGGTTTCTTTCTTTATACAGACGGATTTATGGTCTGTTCAAATGAATGGGACTTGGCAAATGAACTTGCAAACAATTTACTCTGAATCATTACATGCAATGGTGTAGTCTACATGATACGTAGGTATACGCCGTATACCCACTAGGAAAGGTGAAGGATTTCCATATACCCACTTAAAAAAAGCGTGAGGATGCTTAACAACATCGTTTTGTAACAGAACTTTCACACGTTCATTCATAAATTGAACCCGTCCATGTTGCGAAGCACCTACTTTTTGAAAATCACGCCGTGTTTCTGTTGCTGACCAGTGCTATTGCGCAACTCTTGCGCAGCATTGAATGTGAATCACTAAAGGAGATATGAAACGAAAGCAAACTCAAACTACACTCTTTCG